GTTCTAGAGTCTCCAAACAATGACAATCAAATAATATATGGGTTTTAACTTTACATATTTGACCACTGCACACTCATCCTTGAAGCAATCTGCATCTCAAAAACAGAATGTCACATAAACTCAAAAATCGCTCCGCATCTCATGGCTGGCCTTTATTTCGCTATCTGTCACCTTGAAGCTATTACAATCACTTACAAACCACTATTTGCCGAAAATTCCTTTTAATATGGCACTGAATTTGTGTGAAATAGTCCAATAAAACGAAAATCAATCTGATGGTAGAGAAAATGCCTTGACAAACTTTCGTAACCATCCATTTGAATGAAAACTGTTGTTTCTTTATCACCAATAGCGACGCTCTAAGCACGTGAGCAAATCAGTACAAAATGATTGAACCATTCCGTAGTGGGTCAAAAATTCAGAAAGTCAGAAGCGGCTTTGAGTTGGACGTTTCCGTTTGTTGTCTTGCGTCTTACTTGACGTAGACGACTCTCCATTTCCTGATGCGTAAAATGGAACACTATCACTGGAGTCGTGGCGTAATCACCGACAATCACCGGCCGATCAACCGCCACTACAGTAAATAATATTGGCGGTGGTGTTGATTGTCATCGGATCGCCGCCGAAATTGATAACGATTTCCGAAATCAGGAAGTGCTTGGCGACACCGACATGAAAGTGTACAACGTTTGCAACCTCTCTCTATCGCATCACTGACCAGATGAGGGGTGTCGGTTGACTTTTCCTCGATCACGCTGTCACAACAGAACTGTGATCTGCTTAAAGTAAAAATGTTCATGATGATCTACTTGCAAAAAAAAGCTTCGCATGGAGACTCTCGTTGTAGGATGAGAAGCCGATGACGAGCATCGAAAAGGGACCTGTGAATTCGGAATTTTCGCATGCTGCATCGCAAATGACAGAGAAAGCGCAATTTTGAGAGAGAGGCAAAGTGAGTGTTACGGCTGGTGCTTTGGATAGATTACGAGCCCCCTCCAGAAGTGTTCGTGGGTCATAGCCTATTTGAGGCTCCGTGTTTTGCTTTTGTGATTACATTTCACATTATACGGTACCAGAGAAAATAAGAGGTAGTAAGGAAAGAGTTTGAACAATGTATCAAAAAGTACTTCTGAGAAAACCTCTAGCGCCATAATCAATTCTGAAAGTGATTAAAAATCGTTTGGTTAGTACATGGCATATCATCTACTCTATTGTTACTTATGCGAATATGTGTAAGCCTGAGCTGGCTCAACTCACACCAGAAAATTTCTCACAAACTCACATTTTCTATCGAACAATGCAAAGTCCGGGTATATCGAATAGAGCGACAACTGTACTTCAATGAAAATCTTCATGAGTCTTCTAATAAATTTGTCAATTTCGTCCTTATCTACGTAGAAATTTGAGAGTGAATAGAAAATAAGGAAAGACTAGGTAAAATTGGCAAGGGCTGAATGGTATGCCCGCTAATCTTTATTAACATGTAACGCTCGACGGTGAAATGCGACGATGTCGCTTAGGATAACGCCTAATTTCATGTTGGCCATGTACTTGATGGTTCTTTGGCAACACACGATAGATAATTTTTAAAAAACGAAAAGACTGAGGGGTTGGGAAGGTGACATTAATTAGAAGAGACTTCACTGTTCCTTATGGATATGGGTAGTTTGTGGGCTACTACTAACTGTATGTCGCTGCTCAGATTGCAATCTTATCCACATTCCTGTCAGCATTTGGGAGTGCATTGCAGCTTATCTTGCGTGTAGCTTGATGTTTCGTACCCACATAAATTTATGTGAGCTTATTGATTATGTGATTGAAATGAAGTAGCAGATAAAGAAACAGGAATCTCTTTATTTACCCGCTTCAAGCGATGGTATGATGTTACAATATACCAAGAGATGTAGAGTGATGTGTAAAACATTTACCTCAGCTGGGACTCGCATTCACAGTGAATCCTATCCGGAGGAAAGGAAGATATGTGGGTTTGAGTCCTAGCTGATGCAACAGTTTTGCACATCACTGGCTATAAAGTAGCAGACGGTTGTCCACCAAATCATATGACCCTAAACTCATGCGAAAAATATCTTCTTTTTGAGTTTTTGAGAGGAGAGACCAGCTTTGCATGGTCATCGCTTGATATAGTATCTGTATTGATCGTGCTATCAATCGAATATGTAAGCATGACCAAAAGGCTCTGCGTAGCAAAATAAATCATTGAGATTGATATGCGTCGTATGTGATCCATCTCGTCCCACTCTGCCAACAATTGCATGCGCGTCATAAGCGTTAATTGTTAAACATGTTTGCGATCCATTACTATAGTATTTGTAAGCTTTTGTTTTAATGAAAAGTCATACTTTTAAATACAATACAAAGATCAAGCATACGGCACTAACCAATCCCCAACGGATGGCTAGCAGGTAACTGAATATTCATTTTTCTATACAGTCACTTACGACAACTAGTCAATCTAACAACTCAGCGATTTTATCTTAGCATCAATTTGACAAATTTTCACCGATCTTCAGGAGCAATAGGGAAGTTTGTCTGCTCTAGGTGCGAGGTTGAGCTAAATACTTCATGTGCAATTCAACGCACCTCTGACAACTACATCACAGATACTGTAATAATCAGTGAGAAAGCAATATGCAAACCCTAGAGGCAGATCAAGTATGAAAGCATAGCCTAAAGACTGCTATTCTACTGATTTTACCATGAAATATATATAATTTGGCTTATAAAAAAGATTAATTTTCAAGTGTGAAATTTCTATTAATGAAAAAAGTAGTGTTACTTTGTGGAGCAGCTTCAAGTAGTAATTGCAGACTCTTCACCATTCTTACTTAAAAGGCTTCGCTATGTTATATTATATATATATAGAAAATTTTCCGACTCACTTAGCAATAGACATCTTTCATTAAAATGTCCATCTATGTCCGTCGATCTTCAATTGGTGTTATACTGAACTACCACTTTTTAACGTCATTCATTCATTCGTCTCTCAAGCCTGCTACGCTTTCATTCTTTCATCCTGTCCTGTTTTCTCGTCTCCAATTTTCTGTCCTAATGTCAAACTCTACACAGTTACTGATCTCCACCAAAATTTTGCCATCGCATAGAAACACTCAAAGCTTCCCTAGAATTTGGATGGGTCGCTGAACTACTGTGGCGCCTGTGGTCGTTCAGTAGTCGTCGATGCCTTGCGCAGATCCTTTGTCGCGTAACTTCAAAGAAAATAGAGGCTGCTCCGATATTTACCTGAATGAGATGAAAGTTGACGGACGTATGAATAGCAGCAGTAGCCGAAAGACTCGTCGCGCGCTCGTGATTAATGTCGCCGCGCGTCATTCCGCGTTCCGTTGCTTATTCCGCAATCGAACTCACTGTCATGCGGATTCCGGACATGAAACCACGAATTTCGCATTTGTAGATTGACAGTTCCACTAGGAATTCTTTCAATTTTCACCGCTTTCTAATGGTGGTATGATGTTAAATATATATTCGTCTAAGAAGATGGAAGAATCCTTTGTAGGTGGTTACTGATAGCTTCACTAGTTCATTTCGACGAAAGTGTGGTGGTAAACCGATAGTTCTGCTGATGTAGTAGCACGCATTCCCAGTAAGGAAGACGCAGGTTCAACTTCCATCTGTGGTCAAAGTCTTACGTGCCGCTCAATCTTCTGGGTCCCACCAATATTTTGTAATTGTCGCCCACGAATGCTTGTAATTTTCATTTTGCCGCTCAAAAAAGTAAGTTATATTTGCGAACTAGAGGAAAGAAATGTGAATAGAATTAACGGGAAAAAAATTAGGCGATGTAGCAGAGTTCATTGCTGAACATACACTCTGTTGGATGTATAGGACGAACTTACATCCTGTATTATAACAAGAAAACAATCAAATATCATGATATTTTCCTTGCCATCTTTGGTGAGTCCCTTACAGAGAAATGAAGAAAAAAAGGATGACGCGTGCGACGTTGATCAATTCTTGAAGGATGTCATTGTGTTTGACTTCATCAAGCATCGTTAGAAATGACTTAATGCATGTTAAACCCACAAAATAACTTGTGATGGCCTACCGATGTGCCAAGTCAGTGATGCTATCATTTCACACAAGTACCAATATGTGAACCCTGGAAGCACGGAAACTTTGATGCGCTCAGGGAGCAAAAGCAAAGCAGCGATCTCGAGAATATGGCACAGCACCTCGAAACACTCGTTACATGCGTCTTGTAAATAAGTGTGTTTTTTGAAAAGTACAACAGTATAAGGCTAGGAGGTCTGCTAAGGCACGAACTTAGCCTGAAACTACTCGCTTTTATCGCATCTCATATTCTTGCGATTAGTCCAGAGCCAAGTTAGAGATTGGTACCAAATAGAAGTATTTTTTCAAAGTTCACAGAGAAATCTAGGCTGTATTCTTGAAAATGCAATGAAGTCTCAGCACCAGTAATACGGGCACTACCACTACGCAAATAGTTTTGTGCGACCTCAAATACTTAGTGGCGTTACAATTAATGCAAGAGATTATTTTCCATCTGAGGAACTAAAATGTGTAATTCATTAACGGAAACACTCAGAATTTCAAATTGGCCCAAGTGAACAGCTCGAGAAATTTGACAGTGGTCAACGAAATTTCTCGCGTTGTATCCTCCTTCAACAGGACGTCCGCTCGTTCGTACTATGGAGGTCGTGACCACACGTGTTTGCTGGTTCGTTTTGCGTTTGCACTTCGCCTACAATACGACGCCCATCGAAAAGTGGTTGGTTGCTGCACACTGCACTTGCGGAACAAAGGGTCAGGCGAGAAGTGTATTGAAGCAAAACCGTACTCATCACAACATTAAAACAAAATCATTAGGGGTGTTGAAAATTCTCGATTTCACAGTAGGATCACATCATGTTGGATTAATCGGAATTGTTTTTATTTGACCGCCACTGCGGTGGTATGATGTTACAATATACCCATTAACGTGGAGTGCTGTGCAAAATATTTGCGTCAGCCGGGATTCTAACCCAGATTTCACTCTTCGCGGGAGCGTATGCTAACTGTTCCACCACCGACGCTCGTTTTGCACAGCACTCTTTTGGCATAAGCTCCCGCGAAGAGTGAGATCTGGGTTCGAATCCCGGCTGGCGCAAATGTTTTTGCACAGCACTCCACATTATTGGGCATGTTAGATTATATCAGGTCCTCTAATAAGTTTCTGCACTAGAGCAATAAATACCAAATTTACTAATCAGAAGTAATTGAAGGATACCAAATTTGTCTATACTTGCCGCATCATGACCTCTCAACAAAGTCTTCATCGCAATTTGCTGCTTTACGAGTACGAGTTGGGACGCGATGCATGGCAGCCTTCGAGAACTTAATCATACAAAGGCTTAAGGATCCAAACATGTCCAGGATGTGTCCAGGCAAACAGCGTTTCGGTTCTGTGCTGAGTTTCCCACCAGCTGCACCAACAACACCAATCTCATTCACCTTCAAGACAACGCAAGGCTGCATGTCGCCAAACTGACAAAGAGGAAGTTGACCGAAGTGGGCTGAGAGTTGCTGGTTCGTCCGTTATACAGTCCTGACTTGTCGTCATCTGACTAGCACCTCTTCCGGTCAATGGAGCACTTCCTGAGCAAGAAGGAGTTTCAAGACATTAATCATTTGCGTCGAGGATTGACATCTTCTTTAAAGCCAGGCATGACGAGCTTCGTGAACGCGCAACTGATTTGTTGCTTGAGAGATAGCACAAATGTTTCACGTTGATATCGAGAGTACCTAGATTAGTGTTGTCAAGCAGTTTCAATTACTTCAGCCTAATGTTAATTAGGAGCGCACGTGGCGCAGTGGTGAGAGGTGCCCTGCGTCGCACAAGAGGTCAATGCTTCGATCTCGCGCTCATGGCCCACCAAGCCATCCATCCTTCCGGGGTCGGTGAATTGGTACCAGGCAGGTCTCAGACTTGTCTGGGAGGATGAGCAGCACTGACTCGGTTCAGCGGGAGGCCACCGCGAGTCATTGTAAAGGCCAGATATGCATTCAATCACCTCAAACGAAGTTAGAAATTGAAGTCGAATGCATGGCGCATCCCTAAGGGATTGATCAACGCCGAGAGCTTTATCCTTTTATCCTTTAATGTTAATTGCTCAAGAGCCGGTATTTGTAAGCAGATCTAATAATTTTTATTTACATAAACCCATCCTCACATCAACAAGGCAGAATTAGCACTTCTTGCATTCAAGTGATTTTTTCGTGTATCAATCATCTGCACAATTCCTCGACCTTTTAACCCATCGGTGCAGCTGCTCCACAGGAGTTGACGTCTTTTTCATGAACGTCTTTGAATAGTGGTCCACTCAACCGTCCCATAATTTTTAAGTGCTAAGGCCCATTTGTATTAAATAAAGTTTGTAGTTCCAAAGGAAGTCTAGACAACTTTCCGAATTTGGATGGGTGAGGGGCTTGATGGGCGTGAAGCGAGATTGAAACCTCATTGTGTTCGTGATGGATGATATGTGCCACTGTGCTGCAAGCCCACCGTATAGGCAACATTGTGTTGGTTACTTTTGGGATTTGTAGTTATTCCCGGTTCTTGGACTATTTGATGCGGTTTACCAGTTTTTTTGGCGTCTCATTCCCATGCCTAACAACACTCAAACACTGCTTGTTGTTCGTTAATCAGAGGTAGAAGGACTTTCGAAAAGTGGAAAGAGCGGGTAAGCTTGAACTCCATAAATAACAAAAAGTGAGCTCGTTAAAACTGTACAATGTTCACTCCCAGGTGTGACTCTACTTTAGCATAGTCTCACATGTCAGTATTTGCTTCATAAGTAGACACGAGCCTGTCAATGACAAGATCTGTGCGATTTTTTGAACTAACTTTTCGGGGATTTCGTTTTTTCTCGAATCTGGATAGGTCAAATTTACGTGCAATCTGCTCAGTTAAACATTCTCGTAACCTCAGAGTTTAAGTTTAATACATGAGTCCAAGCAACCTACTGTCCGCTTAAGAAGGAAACACCCACTTTACAGAATATCACTCTCGTTCATCCTGATACGAATTCAAAGTATTGATGAAAGGTAAAAGAGAAAGTAGTAGATTCCTTTTAGATAGTCATTTCGTCACTCCATGGCTCTGTTCACCGTTGCTACCATGGACGGCACAGTCTGGAGGCGACCTTCCGACACCGATCCCTCTTACGCCATCCACAATCCAGCATCCGTCGACGTTGCTGAACACAGGTAACGAACTCAGTGACCATTTTTACTAGGCGACTTCTGAGTACTATGCTGGTAACAGTGCGGATTACGAAAATGGTTGAAAGAGTAAAATCTTGTCTGGAAATCGAAGTGAAGCAAATAAACACCTGCATTAGGTCTTTGCATTTCTATTCAAACTCATAAAAGAATAGACTAATAGAAAATAAATCAGTACAGAGTTTATGATATTCGCAAGACCTGGAATAGTTTGCATTCGTGCACTGTGACGATGTTGCGACATAATCAGAAGACTAGACTGACGACAAGTTCAGTAAGGATTTTCTAATAAAACAAGTGAATCCAGCGTAGTCTATGATCCTTATCACGTTGTATCTATTTTAGCGAAGAAAAAGAAGACATTTGGCCCCAATCAGGCTAGCTTGAGCCTGGGTTCTAGCACAAATTCCCTTTCATTTAATAGTTCTTTTTTTTTTTCTTAATACATGTAAATCATTGAACGTGGGAAGGCCAAAGTTCAAGGTGGAATGAAAGGCGGTCACACTGTGTCATTGAGGTGATGGAGCATGACGTTAGGCATTGGTGTGGAGCCTTGCTAAAAAAGAGTTGCTATCCTCCAAAAAAAAATGTAATTTTACAGTATGCGGTTTGTCAACGCAATCTTTGATCGGCACCAGCACTATGACAAGTTGCGGGATACTTCAGAAGGAGAATCTACCTTCCACAGTAAGAAGTCGGTGTAAGCCGTCAGGACTGTTCTCGACGCCGTATATATTGGAATCACGAAGACACAGCGAGCCACCACCACCGCCCTCTCATCTATTGGCACAACGACGACGAAGCAAAGAAGGCGGGCATATTGCTTTCTATTCACTATTTTTTAACATAAAATGTGTATACTGAAACAAAACCACATGATCGTCGACTGAAGATAGTGAACACTTTTTTTGTAAATTTTCTAAATTCTTTTTGCCAAAAAAATCCGTTTTCACCGCGCAACCTAAGAGGGAAAGGTACATAAAAACCTATCGATCGGCAAATTTGGTTCACTGATATAATTCACTTTTGCTTTCATTTTATCTATATTTTCTGAACAGCATTATTCATCCAAAGCAAGACTCTTTTCCAACTATTTCCCATTCCTAGTGTTTTACAAGATTATGGTTCATTATGATATGGAAGTAGCACATTTCTGATATACAGATTTGTGGTTGTTATAGAAAAACAAATTTGTTATTCAGCCTCGGGTCAAGTCACATACTTATGGGAATTTTTACTTCGTTTATTGCAAGACAAAGAATATTGTCCGAAATTTATCAAATGGATTGACCAGTCAAAGGTATAGTATATACTTTTTCTCTTAACAATTACAAGCAAATATTGAATTGAATTCTGTACATGCCACGTTAGTGAACCAAAGCTCAGAGCTTAAGACCGTTGAAGGATGATGTTGACTGCTCAATATATATTTTACGTTTGCTTTCCAGGGTATTTTCAAGCTTGTCGATTCGAAGGCCGTGTCAAGACTTTGGGGAATGCATAAGAACAAACCCGGAATGAATTACGAAACAATGGGCAGGGCTCTGAGGTGAACGGAAAAATTAGTAGGCCATAGACGTTCTCATAGGAAGGGATAAAAAAGTCAAAATCGCGTCAGTGATAAATCTCACACAGATATGACTCCACATTCGTGTTCCATTTATCAATTCACTAAGACACTGATGTAGATTAGCTTAAACAATAATTCTCAGGGTCAGCCACAGGTTTAGTGAGTGTTTTGATCCGTACACATGAGTTCTACATTGATCCCGTCAAGTGCAGCGAAAACCTTTTGATTGGATAAAAACAGTGGATCAATATCTGATGATTGGGCTTAAGTACCTATCACTGCCTGTGTGAAATCGAAAAGACCACAAATGAGTAAAGTAACAATTACTAAGCATCTAGGTACTACTATCAACGTGGCATTCTACAAAAGGTTGACGGTCAACGCCTTGTCTATCAGTTTGTTGATGTACCCAAAGATGTCCTACAAGTTCGTTCTCGATTTCAACTTCGTGATTGACACTGTAACTCAAAATCTTATTTCAGGACTCACCATTTGACTCTGGTACTGATTGTTCTGGTTCAGACGTATTGGAAGAGCCGGACAGTCCAACGAACCTCAACGAGGAGTTGCGGGATAATTCGTCGAAGACGCCGCCTCTTAACGTTGTAGATAAACCCAAACAGAAAGTCTGAGTTCGTCTTGTCTTAGTAGTTGCTTGCTGAATATCGTTAATGCTTTGTTCCCTTACCAGCAAACGGAATGAGGTCATTTGAACCAATGGAGTTGAAATTTTCTCCGCGAAAAGACAATTTTCTCCGACACAGTTTTCTTCATGTGTTCTATCATGAAAACATTGATATGTCACAAACTCAGTGGATTTCACTTACGCTCTGGTCTAGATTTTCAGGCAAACAAGTAGACCAGTTCCACGAGGTACAAGAGATGGCGTCAGTACCCATCGTCAATGGAATTCCTGAAAGATTCACATGATACTGATCTATTAACCTAACTTTATTGACCTACAGTGATTTCTAAGCATTTCGAACGCAACTCATAAATTCAACTCAATGCTTCTGCGCTTAGCGCTTCTTGAAGTCTACGTGAAAATTGGAAATTGGGCCAGTTTTATTCCACAAGCGTTCAAACATGGCATTTTGATCTTCTCATCTGCCCTTTTCGGTTTAAGGAGATAGAATTTATTGCATATAATTGTACATAGGGTGCTTGAAAAGCGAAAATACGGCACATTGATTGAACGAGACTTAGTCGACTAGGCTAATGAATCATTCCAGCACACTTCCC